TGCTGCGATTATGATATCCTGAGGGATCTAGTCGCTAATGTCTCGTTTTCTTCAGATATCGTTCATATGCATTACGGGTCTCGCGTAGTTTCAAGTATAGTACGACATCTTAAATTTTTGACCGTTGACGTAGATTGGAGCTTCGAATCCCTTCTTTCACTTGCGTTACACGGCATACTCCAAGTATCATCATTTCGACTGAGCGTTCTATAATGCTGAGTAATCATCTTCATCTTGCTTACGTAGCCACCAGGTTTTTGACACATATGTTAGGGGAGGAAGAGCCGTGGAGTGGAAAAGGTAGGCATGGTGTCCCATGCTCTTTGTCCTTTTCACTACGTCCGCGATGAACTTAAAAGCTCCCCAAGCCTCTCGCTTCCTACTGTTCAACTCTGGAGCTAAGTCGTTCATCATGTTGATTCCCCAACCTTGATAGACATGGCCGGAGCACTCGGAAATCTAACAAAGAGAAAGTGATGTCTCTTTGACACCCCAGTGGTACTTGCATTCGGTACTAAACCTGATCACTGCTTCCATGCGAAGCCGCGATTCAGCCACAAGCTGGTAAACAACTCCCATCATCGTCCAACAAAAGGAAACTAGTCGTAATGACGAGGACATTTTCAATAAAAGCCTCTCCTCTGACTATAAGCCTCTGGCATATAAAGGTAGGCCCGACCAGCGACTACAAGTTCCTTGTCTAAGGACTTAAAACGTGTGCCAAATTTGCCTCATTTTCTCAAATAAAAACTTCAGTCCATATCTCAATTACCATTAAATAAAATGTGATAAATTTTAAAAATCCAAAGATGAAGCGGAAAAACGAATGCCTCACTTTCACGCGTGACCTGGTGCCCTATTTCAAAATGATATTTTGACCCCAGAGTGTGTCTTGCTCGTGACCCCACGTGAACTACGTGTAGGCCAGTCCGACACGTAACATCATGGTGAATGGCCTTTCTGTTCAATATGGCATCTATTTGAAAGTTTGATCTTCATTAATACTTTGACTTTTTTCTCCACGGAATAATAAAAATATTCTAATATAAAATACGCCCAGGCTCTGAGGAAGGCGAAGTCGCCAAAACGTCAGCCATCGACCAACAACATCAAAAACAACGACAACGACAACGAAGACTTGTACCAACCTTGTATCATCTTAAGAAAATCAGTTTATAAGTTCATGCAAATAAATATATTAAATAATTGTTCGAAAAGAAAAGAAAATGAAGCTCGATCCTATTGAAACACTCTTACCACGGTTGAAAATAAATGCCAACCTTGAAAGGTTTTTATCGGAGGATTTACATCGGTAGAATCAAAGAAAAGGTTGCTGAAAGCTGCTCCTAAACGAGCTAGTCCGAGCAAATGGCACTGAGATCTTTGCGACTTTAATGTTCCACTATGCTCACTGATGGAAGAAGATGGGACTGTGATTATATCCCATCACGATATGATAAAGAGGTATACAAATCTTCCGCTCTGCCGCCCACTGTTCGAACCATGAAATCTCTGCTGGTGAAAATTGCTCTTAACTCTATCCTCATCGGATCGGGACCCTACAGAAATCATGAAAACAGGCACAGCAGCTGGTCCGATAGTATCACCGCTCTCTTTAAAGCCGGAGGCCACAATTTATATGTACTTCTCGCATCCCATATGACAACTTTCCTTCAGAAAGGCACCAACTAGAGGACGTTGCGGTCATCCTACACAAGAAGGATGAGCGATGAGATCTATATATCTATTGGTGAATATGCTTGTTATCTGCACTCTACATGCTGCTCAGGATGATTATCCTTCACCTGATGTCGAAGGCTTTGAATGGGTCACAACCAATTGAGCAAGCAGGATTCCAACATAGATTCTGCTTCATAGGCCACATCCAAACCATGTTATTGGTCACAAAAGTATGTCGAGAGTGCCATCAGGCTCTTGTGCGAAACTTGATCGATCGACAAAAAGGAAACGCTTGACGCTAAGAAAGCACCAACAACGGCAAGAGTTGGTGCCAGTCGCTGCCCCATTGCCAACCCTCTAATTTGCACGTAATATTTCCCTGACCATCCGAAGATTGAGCAGTTTAAACAAACCTTTAAGAAGACCATAAGCTGCTGAATCGAAAAGCCATACATGTTAATCGCTCCTTCGTGTTGCTCAAAAAGCTCGCAGGTGGCTTGCATTGCGGAGTCGTTCGACACGTTGGTGTAAAGGACGGTAACGTCGAAGGACTCTGTAACGTACGCGGTTTTGGGACGTGCGTTGCGCAGACTGTCTAGGCACATTTGGGTGTTCGTGTGTTCGTGAGATGGGCTGGTATATGCTTAAGCAACTGATTGAGGATTAGATTTATAAACAAAGCAATTCTATCCGTAGGCTCGTCTACACAACTGATGATGAGTCTAACGTTAAAGGTGGAGGGGTCGGTAGACGCCAGATCATCAGCGCTTATTAACTTATGGGTCTTGATAAGTAAGTATTGGACGGGACATGTCGGCACTTCGATCTTAAGATGCGAAATACCTGCTGGTTTTAAACCTGCTGCGTTTGCCATTTTGACCCATTCGTTGTTCAGTTTTCGATTTTGATTTCTGAATTCGTTTTCAGTAGATGCGCGAGAAAGAGATGCGTCGTTAAGATGTTTTTCCGTCATATCAACATCTAACTGACGAGGAATTACTACAAACTCTCCACCCTTATCACTAGCTGATAGTCTAATAGTCTTTGATTTTATTAGCTCTCCAACCTGTTGCATACCAAATTTTTGCACGCGTGTAAGGTTCAAACTGAACTTTCTCGCGCTATAGTAGTTAAGGACTTTGAGAGTTTCGTTCGGAAATATGCGAAATTTTATATCGATTTCGTCGTTTGGGTCTTGCTGTCTAAAGAATAATCGAGGAAATGGAGGTGCTGGTAGTGCCTCTTCTGGTTGTTCCTTTTTGTTTCGTTGGGAATTGCTACGTGAATATAGTTGTTAACAAAGTCTTGAAATACCTTCAATATTCAAACACATGGCGGTTTTTTCTTCTGTTCCTGTATGTTTTTATTAACTGCATATGCTTGTTTACTTGTATTTCTACGTGTATAGGTGTGCGAAGTTGTCATAAGAAATAATTTAGAGTTCTTATAAGAATAAAATTCTTGAAAAGTGATGACATTCGTGCTAAGTAGCATTGTAAGTTTCTCATTGTAGTTTCTTCTTCTTTCTTTTGCTGCTGTCATCGTCACGCCTTAAGGACGCAACATCTCTGAAATTGCTTTCCTCGAAAGTTAAGGATACGAACACAATTGGCCATTTTTAACAAGGCATTCTTAAACAACAAGTCTTTTCACAGCTTCTTCTGGAGATCACTTAGTCAACAGGCATGAGTCGTATTTGCATCGTCGCTACTGATGAGGAATGACAGCAGGCTTGAAATCAGTGCCTGGTCTTATCTCTCACCGCATAAGGTTTTTTAGAAGGAATGTGTAGCTTACAGAGGCCTTGCATATGAAATATGAAAAAGCGCACCATGTACCTCTGCGTACGAGGAGTTTCGTGTTCCGGTTTCCGGCTGTAAACATAAAAACACATAATTGGCCAGTTTGATCTTACGAGTTCGACAACGTTAACAACACATTCAACCAATGCGTCGCAAAGGTACTGTCGCTGTGAAACATAATTCACCCAACCCATTAGTCTTGACTCATTGTCCTTTGTTAATATTTGATAATATTTAACACTTTTAATACTAATATTGCTAATAGTTTCTGAGAAAGCATTTGGACTCTGTTAGAGTTTACTTCACTGTTCTTTTCGTCTATGTCATTTCTTCTTGTTATGTCACCGGAACATGTGTTTCAGTGCTGAAGTATATTTTCCTGGATTTTGAACATGGTCTAACCTTCAATAACGTTGGATCGGTAGACACGAGATCATCGCTGGATATCAACTTATGGGTTTTTATAAGCAAGTACAAGACAGAGCATGTTGGTAAGTTAACTTTTAGTTGAGAGATAACTGATGGTTTTAAACCAGCAGCCCTTGCCCTTGCCAATTTCCCCCATTCGCGGTTCAGTTTTCGGTATTTACTTTTAAACTCCTTCTCAGATGATGGGCGATAAAGTGAAGCATCTTCAAGATGCTTTTTCGTTATCTCAACATCTAACTGATGGGGAATTACGAAAAACTCTCCACCCTTATCACTAATGGATAGTCTTATGTTTTTTAACCTTATCAGTTCTGAGATATTTGCAAAACTCTGGACCGCAGGTGTCTATGGTGGGAACGAACGCGCTATTGTCCTTTCCGGGGAGTAACGCGTTCACCACTACAACCATGCGGGTCCTTCGTTTCGGTTGTCTCTCAGCTATTTCTATTCTCAGCAGCCCTTGCCCTTGCCAATTTCTCCCATTCGTGGTTCAATTTTCGGTATTTACTTTTAAACTCCTTCTCAGATGATGGGCGATAAAGTGAAGCATCTTCAAGATGCTTTTTCGTTATCTCAACATCTAACTGATGGGGAATTACGAAAAACTCTCCACCCTTATCACTAATGGAGTGTCTTATGTTTTTTAACCTTATCAGTTCTTGTACCTCTCGCATACCACGTACTTGCACTTCAGTAAGGTTTGAGCTGTATCTTTTCCAGTGATAGTGATTATGGACTTCGAGAGTTTCATTCGTAAACATCCGAAATTTAACATCGACTTCATTATTGGGCTCTCGTTGTCTAAAGAACGGCTGAGGAAATGGTGCTATTGGCAGGGCCCCCACTTGGTGTTGTTCGCACCTATTTCGCGCTTCATCTCTAGCTTTTTTGTGGAGTCTATCTTGAAGTACATGTAAACCACATGCGACCCTACTCAAGGCTATAGAGCTGAGGAACGTGACCACTGTACGATATGGGGGTACCTGATATGATTACGCGGAGTATTGGGGGAAAGTCACCAGATTACTAGTAGCCTGAGGACAAATGCGCCTCAGATTTGGCATAATTATACGTTTTTTTTAAGCACATTTATTTCTGTTGATAGCAGTTAGTGAAAAATATGTCGCGAAGGCCATGTTTGGCTGTTGACATCGATCCGGCCAGCAGCATAATCAGGAAACAGCCGCTCTCGAAGTAACTACCCCCAGAACTGAAAATGGCAATGCTGATTAGCAGCTATACAACCAACATACTAGAGAGTTCTTTGCTGACCTGTCCGTAACATTTTTCTCTGCACAGTCGATTTCAGAACATGCAATGGACATAAAGCAGCTACGCCATTTAGTCGGAACAATAATTGAGTCGACGAAGGCGACTAGACATCGACGTACTTCGTTATCGTCAACGTCACGGATAGCAACCCAGAACAAATTCATATCGTCGTTTGTCCCGGCTTAAATGGTCTCGGCACTGCGCTACCGATGGAGTGTAGTTGTTCCCAGAGCGCAAATCTTGTGTAGATTATTTCATTCCTCAACATTTTCTTATTTGTTTGTGTTCTACTGGATTCGTCACCATTGTTTTAAAAAATTATGCCAAGAGGTACTATGAAGTCATGAGACTTTTATTGCACATTAAAAGGTTGAGATTTGTTTCAACAAACTGTTTCTCGCACATAATGTGATTTAGTCGATACATGTAGAAAATAGCATAGCATTTCCCATACTATTGCTTCACTCGGTGCTTTTGTCATCCACGAATGTCCTTGGATTTATATCTGAGTCCAGTTGCTACTGAAACACTTCTTTTCCTATGAATGTTGTTGAATTCTGGTCGAGTTGACACTTCCTAGATCGGGCATGATGGGTTGATGGGAAGGCGTGTTCACCTGAGCTGTTGCAGAAACGGCGACTTTACATGCACTTTCGCACAGTTTCTTTAACCACTGCCCCTCCAGCACTCCACTGTAGTAAGAACGCACTAAGGAAGTCTCAGTAATCTCTTGAAAGCTGTTACTGTTAGAAAGGAAAGAAAATAACAAATAAAAATCAACTCTATTTGTGACGTCAATCAGCCCACAAATATACGAATCATCGGGCAGTGTGATCTTTAATTCAATTCGCTTTCTGGCATCCACCATCAGCAAAGGTCGGATATACGAGTGGATTTGCTGATCTTTTTGGAATTCTGTCTTTTCTATGTATTTCAGTGAAACTGCACCGACTGGTTCGTTTGTTGGATGCTTCTGTTCCCTTTTGATCAGCCACGCAAAACATTTATTGGAGCCACACTTCAAACCTCGAATAGTGATGATTAAAAATATAAACAATACTCACCCAACAACAGCAACGCACAACGATTAACAAATGCTATAAGAATAACACGGTGAGGCCGTTGAAGAGGATTTACATAAAAATAAAAAAACAACCTCAATGGATCACTCTTTGCAATAAGTCTGGCTATCGCACGTCCGAGATGTTTGCGTGAATGGCGGGCTCGATTAAGTTCAGCTCTATAAAACTGGAATGAGAAGAAGACAATAAGAACAGTTTCTAAGCGAATGAAAGAGTGAATGTTAACGCTATTTCTATTTGGAGTAGCTGTAGATTGCCACAGAGTCGATAAGGCATGCTATCTTATGCATCTCAGTCAATAACCAATGGATGTAGGGCAAGATTTGACCTAACCTGACTAAATAATATATTAGCGAAATACAGTATACATAAAACTGCATACCAATAATATAAGAAATTTGGGGTGATACGAAAACATAGAGTGCATTCCTGCAAGGTGAAAAATAGTCTCTATACTTTCCACCTACTGCAAAGCTGAAGAGGATATACTGCGTGAAAAATGTGATAAATTGGAGCGGGGACTATGAGTGTCGGTCGTGTAGATTATCCATCCATAGAACCCAAAAATAGTTGTGCACGCGCACTCCTAAGTACATCACAGACGTCATGTGCCTTTATAGATCGGAAGCAGCATGGCAGTCAAGTTCACATACCCATTGTGACAGTAGGTCAGGTTTGACAGGGAAGAGCTCAACCAACTGTTTACTATTGAGCAACATCTCTACTATTGAGCTCTTCGAATAATTAATGACGGACATAATCCTTTATTCGATGTTCTTTCAGTAAGCAGACACGAGGTTGTTATTATAGAATCTATTAGGACACAAGAGCTGACGTTTCGGCGGTTTTACCTTCTTCAGAACCGTTTATTTGTTGTAAGCATTTGGGTTAGTTGGTGGGTAGCAGCCGTATAGAGTACATGGGCGATAACTGTGTCTCAAACTTGGGTAATTAAGCTTTTAATATTTATAGTTGATCCTTTAATGTTGAATCAAGTGTCCAATTAGTAGATAATCTTATTTAAGTAACTTATACATAGAGGAAAAAACCTCTCAACGGCTTGCCACCTCATCGTGGCTGTGAGGTGTTCCTGGGTGCCGAAATTCGATGTACAACGGGTAGGATTCGTTCCACTGGTGGAGTATCCCAAGATGAGAAGTAGTCTGGCGTTTCCATCATAAAGCTTAGTTGACAATGGTAGGATCCACCACCGAACTGGTATCGAAGTTGTATGTTGGCAAATCTCCCTCTGATCCACAAGGGCCGCAGATGACTGATGACGTTCACTCGGTTAAACCTCATCGTCGTCATCTTACCGGCTACAGTGGCTTGTTAAGCGCCCATCGAAGGCACCAATGGTCGCAAGAACACGGCAGCGCTCCCATTCTTATAACACGAATGATGTCGCTCGCTCAATTGTTGAAGAAAAATCAACAGAAAAAGTTCGAGAATAGAATAATCCAGAACGGAGGTAACTCATTTTAATATCAAATAACTTACCAAAATAGGATTGACTAATTAATTCAATTTTAGCAAATTAAAAGAATTCTGACCCAAAAATAAATGGTCAGTAGGCTTTGAAATTGCCTATTTTAAAAGCATATTTATTAGTTATTCTTAATAAGTGACATGCGAACGGTTTGCGCCTCTTCGTGGCTGGGAGGTGTTCCTGGGTGTCGGACTGCGATAGGCACCGGGGGATTCATCTCCCTGGCATGGTCTCCCAAACTAAGAAGGAGTCCTGCGTTTCCATTAGGAAGCCCAGCTAAGAGTAAACCAATACCAGGATCCACCGCCGTCCGTATCAAACTAGAAGCATGGTTGCAAATTCCCTTCTCTAATTCACAAGGGCGGAGGCGCCTGTGGTTATGACGACTTGGAGCAGACTTTGGCCAGGCTGCCCTCGAGACTCCAGAGAACCACAATGGCTAAACCAGCAAATCTCCGGAGAGTGGAAATTATGCTGGTGGCCACACAAAAAGTGATGAGGGATCATCCAAGTGTCCAAGTAAGTAAGTACGGTCAATTGAACGAGTTGATGAAACCCTGATGACGAAATAGAGCGCTGTAGATGCCGGAGTAACCGTTCCAACTTGAGAAACGGGTGTAATTTAGATATAGGTGGATTTCTTCTTCTTTGCTTCTTTATTTAGAAAATATACAGTGACATAACAACGTTTGAATTCATGTTGTGTAGTAACTATTCCCAAAATAGTTACTATCTCTTTATTTGAATGCACACATACGACGCTAATCCCACCAAGTGTTGCAAATGAACACCATAGCATCACGACCTAAAGAGCGGACCAACGGTGCAAAGAGGTCCCTTACCGATAAGCATCCAAGGGCCTACTGTGTAGGCCTGGCAGGCGATTGGTGAGACCCCTTGCGTCATCCTCATCCCGCCGCGCGGTAATGCGTGCAGTTCTTATACCACCGTCCTTAGTTTGTCGTCTATGTTGATTGATTGCGTCGCATTTCATTTTTGCCTTATCTCATTGTGATGTATTACACTCTCGGAGCTTACACCCGATACTCACGATCTCACGACTCGTGGTGCGTGGTCAGCGCAACGAGGCTTTCCCATGGGCGTTCTGCCTGATCCGCCACTGGTGGGAACGTAACCATCCTTACTTACTCCCATTATAGAGACTGTGGCATGTAGGCGCTGGTCAGCATTGCATGTTCAAGCACGACCCTGCTGGCTCGAGTCCATATATCACATAATCAGCTGTGGCTTAAACCCACCGGTGCAAAGTTTCTCGGAGTGGGAATAGCGTCATTGCACCTAACGTCGCCTGTTCCGCACCCGGTAGGTTGTTATTGACGTAACTCCTTATTGAGCACTTTATTGATGTGCATTGATCGTATCGTCGTACAACGGCCTCGGTACATATTTGTTGATTGTCTCCTCCTTATCTGGTTGCTCAGTGATCCATTGATCAGGTCTAACAGTGATCATGTAAGACCTTACGGCTACCACCCAGGTCTGTACTTTGCTCTCTCTGTGTCACTCACTCTGTCCGTCTGCGCCCAGCGCACTGTCTCAGGCGTCACACCGCCCACAGATGGTGTGCGCATGTCACCACCCATGGCTGTCCTGTCATTATATTGTGATGTAGTTATTGCTGTAATTATCGTTGTATCAATGTTCAAGTATAACACCATTATCCTTCAGTAGCCTCAACTTAGTAGCTTCTGTAGCGTCTCATAAGCTTTGACTTGCATTATTTTGTGCCTGTGTTTTGCTATCGTTATTATTATGTTTTTGTTCTGTTAGTGGTGTTGTTATTATCCATATAAACGTTTAATTATCAAGTTTGAAGCTGGTAAATCGATTCAAACCAGGAAGTCGTGCGTGGCAGAACCACACATACATGGCCATGCGGGCGTTTCCACCACAATCTGGTGCATGGGCCCCTGAGAAGACCCGTAGCTAACCACAGCTATATGTTGCTTCAGGTAGAAACAGGTGGAAACATTTTAGATTATTTTATATATTAAAGCGTATTACTGTGAACTAGAGTGGATTATAATAGAATTCTTGGATTTTGTAATTTTCTTGACCTGTTTTTCCTGCACTTTAGCTAAGTGCGCTGCACTCAGTTTCATGAGCGAAGCAGAGGACCCCTTGATAGTGATGCTCCATTCAATTTCGGAACGTGCGCATTTGGTTAGATTTCAGCGCAGTGTTCAACCCAGAAGGTACGTTCGGCTCAGTTTTATCAGTTCTCGAAGAGATTATTTTCACCAGTAAAGAAGTTTTGGGTAAAGTTTGAAGTTATTCTTGTTCTTCACCTTTGAAAGTTTTTTTCGACACCGTTTTTCTATAGAGCTAGAAAGGTGGGAAGTATCGCAGTTGCTAGCGGAATATATGCCTTCGAGTAGGTTCTCGACACCGAATAACCACTAGCTTTAAACAGAAAACAGAATGCTCGACTTCGTGATAAGACGCCACGCGGGACTTTTCATAGTTGACACAGGACAACAGCTTTCAACACTCAAACTTGGGATTAAATCTTTATATACATAAAGGCATAAACCAATACAACAGGAATAACGATGAAAAGAATATTGGCGTA